AATACATTTGCAATACCTTTACAGTAATTTGAATGAGGGTTACCACACAGTAGTAACCTGTTGGAGCTGTAGAACAGTGCAGAGCAGACCTGCCAGGACATGTTGGCTTTCAACGTTTTGTGAGCACGACTCTTTGCCTCATCCTGTCTTGTCAAAAACAATCACACCTTAAGAGTACCACAACTGACTCACCGCTTGAATTGCTTTAGGAAAATTCCAATGTTCATGCTCCTCTTGGAGTTTAGGATGGAAACCTGGGAGTGGAAACAGACACAATGCTGGATATAATTAATAATCATGTAATCAACTATGATAGTTTCACTATTGGCTTTTGTACCACTGACACCTCAGCTTTCCAAACAGACAGCTGATTCCAAAGGTTAAGAATCCTTTGAGTTGACTGTATTGAACAATCAGGGCAAAGATATCTTTTTGCATCACTGACACATTTTCTCAGTGTGTCTCTTGGAAATGGGACATAGGTCAAAGTAAAAGTTTAGTAAAACATTCTAAGTCATTTATGTTCAACAAACAACAACTAATCAAGGTTATGAACATTATAAATATTCTATTAATTTTCAGTTTCTGGTTGTTTTGATTTAAGACCTGCCTTTATATTAATGATAATAAATGCAGTTTATTATATACAGTAAATGAATAAGTAGGCTGCTATACAGAATGTTGCTGAATGAGGACACAACCATACCTTCCTTTAGCAAACAGATATGAAGAATAGTCTCCAAGAATAGACTCCACCCTTGTATTGAGTGGTTCTAAATCAAAATACAATGTTTCAAATAGAGGCAGTACATCATATTTCTTATTACTATCCTGGAAATGCAATTATTTTAAGTATCACTATAGTCCCATTCCATAAAAACCACATGGATTGGGATTTATAGCATATGTGGAATGAACTCGACATAGCAGATCCTTGTAAACACATGACATGGTCTTAGGTTTTAGCAGAGGGAAACATTGTAAGAATGTTTACTATTTATCTTGAATGCACATCTAGAAAAACATGATCAATCCAGGTCAAAGTACTTCTCTATATTTCAACATTACACAAAAAAATGCCTTACATTTCTATTGCTACATGGGGTTAAAGTGTTACTATGACTAAGCAAGGTGTGACACATGTATCCAGTGTTGTACTCACTATTTCCGCTCCTGAGGCAGCAGTTGGCAGGCCCCTCAAACTATGGCGGTTCAGGGACTTGAGTTGTTGCTGGACCTGCTTATGGCTGAACAGCTCCTCCATGTGATCAGTGTCCAGCTCATATTCCCCATCAGTCTTATCTGATGTCCAAATGTTGTGCTTTCCTATCACACTGTGTTTGGGAAGAGTTTCCCAGTTGAAATTGCGCATCCTGGAGTTCCGGGTAGCCCCCTTGGCAAAGAGGCCCCCCGCCATGTAGGGGCGGAGGGAGGCCAGGGGCTGGAGGTAGAGGTGGAGGAGGAGGTGGTAGTGGTGGAGGTGGAGGTGGTGGAATGAGAGGACCTCCTGGTTGCATCTTTTGTCAAGGAGCTTTCAGAAGGTTTCGGAGAATGTCATGTTCTCCATCACACACACAGGCAGGATGAAAACCAATAAAATTTGAATTGCTGTTTTTATAGGACTTTGCTGCAACTGTTGTGCTGGAGGAAAATGTTGTCAGTTAGGATGATGCATTCAGACTGAAAGAAAGAGAACAGGGTGGGGACAGAGTTACAAAAACCACCATGTACACTGTGACTACATTCACTTTCTCCTGTAGCCAACCTAAAATTAAAGCTGTTGTGCTGTAAAGGCTTAAACTTTAGAATCATTATTCATAAGTTACTCCAAATTTATCACAATATCACAAGGGTCTTTATACTATGAAGAATTATCTATTGAGCACGTTACATTCAGTCCAGTTAACTGAGTTAGTTACACAAGAAGCTTATTTGGCAAAAAACATTATATGACAAATACATATTTTAGTCATAAAGGCAAAATTGTAGTTTGTAAAGACCTGGTGTTTTCTTCTGCATCCAGCTAACGTTAGCTATATCCACCTTAATCTGTACAATGTTCGTTACTAGCATTACTAACAGGTACACGCCACGACGTAAAAAGACAACTTACCATTGCTTTTGATTCCGCTGCTGCCCCATTACCCATATTTCCTTGTTCTCTATCTTATCCCTCCGTCGTTTTGTTGAAACGTCACCATCAGAAGTAAAGAGCAACAATAACCTGGAAAGCGCAATAAAAGAGTGTCGAAACTACCTGCGTGTAAACGACACGCCCAGGAAAGTCATTTTTTACGTCCATGGCAGCCCACACATTCCCAGCAGGAGGACCTCTGGGATTTACTGAACTATTTCGGCTTGTTGGCTGGAGGTTGTGGTCGCGCTGTGTTTTGTGTCCAGCTATCATGAACGTATGTGAGCAGTCCACTGGAATAGACTTATCCAGCTTGATAGGAAAGAAAATTGATTTCTTTTGGGGTGAAGCAATCAGTTGGGTTGGTGCTGGCGCAGTGGATAAGACGCATGTCTTTGGTGTGCGACACCCGGGTTCAATTCCCCAATTTCACACATCCACCAATGAGTAATTCCCTTAGACCCTAGTTGCTCCAGAGACGTGCGACCTCTGACGCAATTGTAAGTGGCTTTGGGTAAAAGCGTCAGCTAAATTAATTAATGTAAAAGTGTTTGTGATAGACAAGATTTTTACCATTAGCCCAAGCTACTATTAATAATGTTTGAGCTGGTATGGCCTTGTTTTTTGGTTTTGTCAGCAAAAATAAATCAATCAAATGAGTAAAAAGTACAAAAAACTACATACTTAGTTAAACATTTAACCAGCTCACACAATGCCATCGAGTATGACTGGTTGCTGGTGGTCAGATTGGCTTAGCTGCAAGCATTTCAACTCTGTCCCCAAAACTATAGCCCTTAGAATGATAGGTGCAATACCCTAAATGAGCATGCAAATCCTTTGGCTCAAGGGAAACTCAAGAATAGGTTTCAACTACACTTAATGCTCTCAAAAGGAGGACTTGTCCAATTGTACAGATTCTCAAAAGCTTATTTCCCTGTGTACCTGTGTACATCTTATTTTTCTATAAAAATATCTGGAAGAAATGTGGAAGCCAGATATTTTGTAAAATCAGCTATGTCCAAAGGGCGGCTATTTTAAACCTTACATAGGTATGTTAAGATTCCCTGTCTTTAAGAACTTCTTACAAATTGTATCAATAGATAAGAACTAGCTATTTTTCACTCCTTTTAAAAACTCGACAGAATTTATAGACTCAAACGTCTCACATAGGAACCACTATATAGATGTAATTAGGCCTGCAATTTTTTCTTAACCAGGAATGTAATCACTTGCACTCTCACTTGCATTTTCCCTGCAAATAAGCCTTGAAAGTAAAATTTATTTGAACTGGGAAGTCTCTGGGAATGTTAACATTTTTGGTTGCATACTACATTTATTCAGAGGGAGTATAGTAAGGACTAAATTCACAACTTAAGATAGTCAGATCAAATGTGTGCCCACAGTCTGTGTCATTTTCAGATACATTTAAAACTCAGACACTTGTAATAAGGTACAGCTTAACAAGGGAGGAGATTAGGGATGTGCTTACTGAATAAATTCTGCTTTTGATCGGAGACCATTCATAACCCTACTTAGATGGAATTAGGTTAATTGGGAGGGAAAATGGAAAAGGGAATTATGATAAGAACATGTTTGTGATTTTAATGTTGTTAGGTTTTACCAGCTGCACACACCTACACAAAAGAACACATCCAGCTTGTTTAAGCTACTGTTAGTTGCCCTGTGAAAATAACATCAGGACAAACTAGTCTTGCCAAATTCATCATCCCTCATCCACTTAGGCTAGGTCAATATCAGTAGACCCACATTTTAACAAAAAACAAAACAAAACGAACATGTACTGTCAACATACAGTCCATGAAGAGATACTGAAACTTGTATTATAACCTAGAAAATATGTGGTTTCACATGTATCCAGTATTCCTGTTTACATTTTGTCATTCCTATTCACTGTATTGTCATGTACATAATTAATCATCATACATATCGTACAGTATGTACAAGGGGCGGCTGTGGCTCAGGAGATAGAGCGGGTATCCCGGCTCCCCCAGGCTGCATGTTGAAGTGTCCTTGGGCAAGATACTGAACCCCGAATTGCCTCTGGTGGCTGTTCCGCCAGTGTATGAATGTGTGTGAATGTTAGTTTCTGTTTGAGCACTTAGGCTCAGTGATATGAATGGTGAATGCAGCTTTGAGTGGTTGAAAAGACTAGAAAGGCACTATACAAGTACGGAGCATTTACATACAATGCCTGAAACTAAATCAGTGAGGGAAACAAGATAAACACATTTAAATATAGTAAATGCATACAGTAGGCCACAGGATGTGATGCATATTTGCAACCCAACCCATGGCATGTCTACGGTTGACAAATTGACAGAAACACAAATTTAATACAATGTCTAACTGTATGGGCAACCTCTAAAACTAAGTTTGTGTTGTTTTTTGACTTCAGAAGTCATTCAGAAGCTTGTTAACACTGAAGGAATGAAATAAAATCTGTTAAGTTAGTTAAGTGGTACAAGCTTTACGTAGTCGTATCTCAAGATTGAGTTTCTAACATACTTTCACTGGGTATTTTTAGTGGGTGAACTTTGCGGATGACTTCTATTACCAAGAAGACAAATGATGACATGCAAGAAAGAAGTTTTCAAAAAGCAGCAAAAACAAGAAAAGGTGTTTCAATGTGCACTGACCCACAGTAACCTCAACTTGACTTTCAAGTAATGAAAGTATCATTAGATAATTATGAAATAAGATTATAAGTCATGGAAAACATGTTAGAGATATATTAGATTGTATTATCATGTACACATTGGTGGCATACATACTACATATATTCTGAGTTTTCTGTACATAATCTGTGAGAACTTCATATAGCAAACAGATCTGTGTCAACTGCACATTAAAGTGAAACAAAACATCCAGCAGATTTTATTGGAAATGCAGAACAAGACAAAGACAACCATCTGACTAGAACTAGAAAGAAAATAAATGTACATAACATACAATGGTATGTTACAAACAGATTGGTAAATAAATAACACAAAATAAGTACAAAGTAATGTACTCATACATTCTGTCCTTGAAGAGACACTGAGACTTGTATTGTAACCTAGAGTGCATGTGGTATCACATGTATCCAGTATTCCCATTCACTGTTTGTGTTTTAAAATTTGAAACTTCAAGAATGAGTCTCAAACAGCTGCACTCTGGTGCCTTCTATTGAAACAGAGTCAATCAACCACTGGCTATGTGTTGCATTTTGATTTTTTCAAGTCATCTGCTTTTTTCCATGTGTAAACTGTGGAATAAACAAGATAGATACTCTGCGGGATTCATAAGGGCATATCTGAAGGTACTCAAAATTTTGGAGATCAAACTAATTATAGATTGTATATTAGGTTTGAGAAAAATCACTATATTCATATATATATATATTTTTTTTTTTTCTATGCATGTAAACCATAAACAGACCATTCAGGCAAGTATTCCATTAAGTGATATTAGAAACATAGTGGGAAAACTTATTATGCTATATCCTGATGTTTTTGAATATGGTTCATGCATACTAAAAAAACAAAAAAATACTATTTCAGAGTATATTTCATAAATTGTGATTTTTATCCCACTAATTTACTAATCTGATTTGTGGAATTCCTCCCATGTCATATACTCTGAAATATTAAAGATAATGCTTTTGATAACTTAATAAACAACTAAAATAATTCATGTGCAAAACTGCCAATGGGTATTTCCACAATAGTAAACTATACTGTACATAAATAAGAAGTCATATGATGTAAATGATTGTGCTACCTAAATAATAAGAAAGTAACAAAATGTAATTTGTGACTTAAGAAAACAATTCTTAATACAAATGAAATTGTTGTTCCATCTATGTAATAAATGATGTAAAAAAAAACATTACAAAAAAGAGATATCTCGTGTTTTTCTTTATCACTGGCAGCTACTGATCCTACGATATACTCCCTTATGCATTTAATGCTTGTCCATCTAACCACAATGTCAAGTTCTTCACTGACCAGCGGGTCACTGTACATCTCAAAGAGCTGAACTCTGAGCGCTCTTTACTGCTCCTCCAGCCAGGATGGCTTGTCTGATCCTGGGGGCTTTAACTTTACATTGAACTGTATTAGAGTTTGTTCCAACTGCTGCTGGTTGCCAGCAAAGTAAGCTGAGATAGCATTGTGGAAGAGAAGCAGCTGCTTGTGCATCACCTTCACCTAGAAAAAAAAAAAAAGAAAAAAAAAAAGAATTGGATAATTCTGCCATTACAAACACATCTGCAAGTGTTTACAGGAAAGCACAGCCTGTTAATATCTATTAAGATTACATATACTAGCTGCTCAGATTAGTTTCTGGGAAATCAACCTACAAGCAAGTTGCAAATTACATTCCAATACAATGCATTCCCAAGTGTCAAGCCGGCCTTTTAAGATATTTTAGGCATGAAAAATCTTACATACTGTGACTAATGTTGATTTTTATCGTCCTTAGTTTTCATTAATTTGGCCAAACTGCCAAAATAAAACAGAATTATGTTTTTAACAGTGGGGATCACAGGTCTGTGTTTAATTTAACAAAATGGAGGCATTCTCTTTAACTGTGATTATCTGCAGCATGAATATGCTCGCGTCTATGCATGAAGATGTCCTTGCTTCCTTTAGTTTGACATAGTCTGGTGCAATAGATGCATAATAACAAAGAAGAATGTGCATTCATAAAGCTATCCAAAAGCAATTTTCAGTGGGTGTTTTTTAAGGAGTAACCTAACACCAGGCTAAAAAAGCATTTACTGCCCTTGCTCATTCACAGATTGAAGCCTGATTCACCTCTGACCACACCCAGCATCAGTGATACCTGTGGTTGAATGTGGTCAAAAGTGTGCACTGTTGCACCACACCCAATAGTGATGTCATGGGGTCCTACAGTACACTTTACTCGAGAAGTTTAACCACTGGAGCACAAGGTTTCAAGAGGTTTCAAGTTACTCTTTAAATATGCGGACATTTCAAAGAAAAAAATTGTTCAAATGACAAACCTTGTTTTCCTCCAGGAATTTGAGCTTGATGGTTACATCACTACGTAGCCTTTCATATTTGTCTCTGTGAATCTGGTAATCATGCTGAGCCATCTCAATGCGGACCATAGTAGCTGCATCCCTAGGGCCCAAACTCAGCTCTTCCAGATCAGAACGATAGGCATCAAACTCAAGTCTGCATGCAAAAACAGTTAAGGCTGTCATAGGCTCCCATTTTCCAGGGGATCACCCTAGATGAATTCAGATTATATTCCTCAACTCTTAAAGAGGATGTCAGGATTAGTTACCTTGCATTTTCATAATGCTTAATGGTCATCAGGGTATCCTCCATTGTTTTGTTGACCAGGGTGTTGACACTGGATACGAAGAAGTTGATGGCACTGAGCAAAGCCTCGCCATTCTTACACAACAGCTTCTGTGTTTCTGCATTATACCCAAACTCGTCCTGCAGAGAAACACATACCAGTTAGCTTAATTTCCATTACATGTCACAGAGAGCTTTGGCAATACTGTACCTGCAACTCTGGGGACTTCTGGCTGAGGTCGGTGAAGGTGTCTCCTAGAGCCTGTTGTGTCTGCACCATGCTTTGAAAATGGCTGGTGAGTGCAGTTGCCAGTCTTAGGATGTTTTCATACTTGTTCTTGGTGTCTCTTAACACGTCAATCTGAGCCTCCAGTTCCAGATCTACTGTTCGTGAACCTCGTCCAAACCTCTCTGAGAACATCTGCTTCGTACACTGCACAGAGATTACATTAAACCCAGCATAAGAAAATCAAATCAAGTTAAAGGGGACCCATTATGCTCATTTTATGCTCTATGTATTCTGGGACTCCACTAGAGTAGCTTTGCATAATTCACAATTGAAAAAAAATCATTATTTATCTTATATTGGATTTTTATGCAGCCTCTCAGTTCATCCTCTGTCTGAAACAAGTAATGTCTTTAAGGCCACTATCCCAAAAAATCCAATTTTTTCTGATTGGCTAACTTGTGGAAACCTACCGAGGGGCAGTGAAGCCCCCAGGAAGTGTTCTGGGCCAATTTCACATAGTGACCGAACAGTAGAATTACAACGTCTGTGTCCATCACTTGATGCACACTTTGCAAAACCTTTCCCCCTTGACTTACATTGTGAAAGAAGTCACTGTAAAACAGTGGACAAAATTTTTTTGATTGTTCACGATTAAATCCTTTTATCCCCATTAAGTTAGTGGAGGGCTAATAGTAGTTAGCCTTTAGTTAGCTAACGGAAGTGTCTGGTACGCTTGCTTTATGGACCAGCATGGGGCCATGCAATGCAGAAGATCTCTGAAAGCCGGAAGAACATGTTTCTGGAGTGTTTCTGGGGGCGTGGCTCTGCCTAGACTGGGGTCTCAGAGAGTGTGTTGGTGTTTACACCACTAGCACAGGAGCTTTGGACCGCCAGGAGGGAGAGGTTATCAGGCCCGGGCTCTGAGCTTCCTAACGGCAGCTACAGTTAGCAGAGGTTAGCAGTCACGTCACAAGTAAAGCCATCTGTCAATCAAGAAACTAACCAACTTTACTTCCCAACTAAAAAATAACTTTCTGTGTGACATATAGAACATCTCAAAAAACCTGAAGAGGAGTCCCCTTTATTAAGATGGTACAAAAACATGTAGTCACTTTGACTGAAACACACGTGTAAATGGTCACAGCTGATTTTGATAGAAGAGAAACTACTCAAGATCCCCATTTCAGTTAACTTAATCATGTGGTATGTTATAGTAATAATATAGGATAATACAGGTAATATACTTTAAAATTTGATATGGGAACAATATGGATAAACTTGGTACCAACAGACACCCCAACATGTTGAGGGATAAATAGAACTAACATATCAATTTTATCAGCTTTTGGAAACAAAAGTATCTAACACACAATACCTTGTATGTGTTTATGCCCCATTTCTTTACACTGTCTAATTTCTCCACTGCCACACCGCGAGAAACTTCTTCAGCTGAATTACTAGTGTTATGGTTCGACGACCCTAACACACAAAAAAGAACAATGTACATATTACTGCATGTTATTTATCAAAGTTTACAAGGCAGATGTTTAAAAAAAATTGCATGGGTAATGACAATGAGTGAGGACAGTGGGGACATGGTGATGAGCCTGGTGATACCTGGATGCTGGTCTGTGTGTTGGGCAAGTCGACTGGCTGCAGATTGACTGTTAGGCAAATTAACACCCCTGGATTTCATGCGAATGTCTGAAATGAGCATGGTAATGATAAAGTGTGATGATGAGAAGAAGGCATGAAGTGAAATATATGTCAAAAAAGCTTGGCAGTGAGATATGCGGCTAAACAGCAGAATATGTAGACTGAAAGAAAATGTTAGGCTCTAGGAGGAGGATTTCTAATAAATTGGAATTAAAAGGGGTTTTGAAATAATCCACCATGCAGGTTTTTCATGCAAAATAAAAGGATTTATAAAAAAGATGGGAAAAGGACTTCATGGGATGAAAGTAAGTACCAAGCAATGACACAACATGTCATCCGCAGTGCATTTCACAGCATAAAAGAGGACATTCTTATTAGACAACAATACAGCATTCCAAGTGACAACCTTATAATATCAGGTTAGTTCATCCCTAATTTGAAAGCTGCCAAAACGTTTCTTGTTGCTGAAGCTGTGAGTTGAAGAGATACAAACAAGGTTGCATACCAATCCCTTGGTCAAGCAACACCAAAACAGCTTATGAAGGGGCCAAAAACAGACCAACATATGAAAGGTTAACTTAGAAAACCAAAAAGGGTCGTCAGAATACACAGCCACCTGGTCCTGATGCAGGGACTCGTCTTCTGTCCAGATACTCAGGGTTGAAGTGTATTGCAGGCCCTATGGGATATGGATGTTTGTAATATGAACCAGGAGCATAGAGGTCAGCAGCTCTCTAGTGACACATCAAAATACAAGGAGGAAAAGCTCTCTGTATGGTTCTTAAAGGGGAATTTAGATCAACCTCTTTCAGTGAGGATTGCAACAACAATGAGCAATCTCTGGCACAGCTCATGGCAGACAGAAAGTGTGGTGGTGGGGGGTGGGGAGCATTCGAAACAGAAAGTGGAATGAACAGTGAGCTGTGTGGAGCCAGAAATGCACCTGGCAAAGTAACTGCAGGGTCATTTGTATTCACCGGCAACACTATTACAATGATATAGAGTTATTAGCATAACTTAGCAACACCTAGTTAATGCTTAAATCCACGATACCTTTGTAGAGCTAACTGTGTCTGTACTGTGAAGAACAAACAAACAATGCAAAACCTGTGAAAGAAGGCAGTCAGTTTTTTTTTTTTTTTTACTAATACCTTTAATTGAGCTGGTAGGAATGATGCCCCCTGCAGGTCCTCCATAACCTCCTGAGACAATGCTGGTTTCATTCAGGTTGGGTCCAGACACCATTACCTGCTGCAAATCCTGATGGATTTACAACAAAATATTGGTAGAATAGAAGGCAAGAAATATTATTATATTTTTCATAATCTACAGTACAGGGACAGTACAGTGCATTTTTTTCTAATACAAGCAACCTTTGATAATGTTATGAAAAGATAAAAATATTTGAGGCCCAGAAAGTTGTAACTTTAATTTGTAATTTTTAACATTATCAACTTAAAGTGTCTATCATCCAAAACTGTTCCAAGTCAACCCGCACATGGAGACTGCACCAACAAATTGCTTATGTGCTCTTTTAGTAATCAGCATGGTGGCCCTCAGTATTACCTTCTTCACAGAGATAGACAAATTATCTATGTAGGACCACTGATACTGCAGCTTCCTAAACCCTGTCAGGCTGTACAAGAATGAGACATAAAATGATGCACTATAGTTAAGCATTTTATTCACTGCTTGTCATGCAAAAGATCATATGACTAAAGCATCATATCCTAAATAATGTCGGAATTACTCCCTCTCCATGCTCTCAACACATCATTCCCAATTGCAGGCATTGATGGTGATAGTGGCATGTAACTACTGTGCATAGCTGCAGGCCTGTGCATGGTTAGGTAACAGTTGGCCTAACCAGCCTCAGTCCTAGACTGTACTGTTAGTAGAAAAAGGATAGAGAACTGCCACCAACTGAGCGCTAAATGCCAATACAGATTTATCAGACAGACATTGTCAGTGAAGTGTGAGAAATGAGACCAACTTACCTGCTCCAGACTGTCATCCTCTGGTAGAGTCCCTGTGTCTCCATTGCTGTTAATAGGGATTTCCATGGTAGCAGCCTTGCTCATGATACTGTCTGCCATAGCGAAATCTCTGCAAGACAGCACCAAACACTGAAACATAAAGATAATATCATGTTTTTAGTTTTACAAAATGATAATCGCACAGCTTTCTAATCCACATCAACACAAAACAACAGCTTGCACACTGACGTTAACGTGGCAGGCTTATAGCAGCGGTGCTGATGTGGCTGGCTAGAGGGCTACTGCTTGACAGCTAGCTTCCTCACCACTGTAGCAACCTACAAAGTCCAGTCGTCCGAATGAGAAACAAACCGTTGTTTGCACTGCAGACTTAAAATAATATCAACGGGAAAGCACCGTTGTCTTTAATTATCATTCAATGCTACATCCATGATGCCTTTTCTTGCAACGCTCACATTATCTGCCTGCTTCCATGTAATTCAGAAAATCCCTGCATCCAGCCAGCTAACAGCTTTAGGTTTGAAGTATAATTTCGAAATAAAAGTTTGTGAGCTTTTTATTTTATTTTAAGTCACGTGGATGGCCATTAAACGCAAATCACCTCGAGTAAAACGTATAATCTATGCTGTTTAGTTTGTGTTGTTTAACAAATAAGAGGCTGGAAGCGTATGCTGTGAATACATGCTCTTATTTTGAAGGATAATACCTTTAACGTAGCATCATCGTCAAGCCCCCTCCCCCGTCCCATCTTCCACGTCGTGCAGTGCTGACGTAGTTTTATCCTTAAATTGTAGTACTGTCTTTCTCCTGAAGATGTCATCAACAGTTCACTGTCTAGTAAAAAGTAAAACCTGACGTGTCACACATACGCTGGTCCTTCAAATGATCTGAGTATTAATCATTAGAAGAAAGGTTGTTGACGCCTGCCCGTTACATTGATTGCAATATCTCTTGAAATCAAACTGTATAAATACAGTCGTTTATTTTGAAATGTAAAATGCCTCCAGATAGACCTCACCCTAGTAAACTAACCACACTTCCAATTATTTGCCTCATTTATTTCAATCACGGATGCAAGGGAAGTGCACATGGTCTCCAAATGTAGAAGTTTTTCTGTAATTACTCCAGCTCTGAACAGAGAACCAACCCCTCATACCCACCCACAATGTATTCCTACAGTAAAACAGTTAATTTTCCTTGTTGTGCTGATTTCCTGCAAGCGGCATATTTTCCAAACATCTAAAATCTCATGTTGAGAAAATGTTTTCTCATTCTTGCTTCTTCTTCATCATCCACCTCACACTACACATTTCTGCACATGACTGAATATGACTGCTGCTTCCACAAGATCAAAGGCAACAAAATGACAAATGATGGCTGGGCTTTTCATGTTTTCCAATTAATCAAAAAAAATCAACATGTCAAAGGTTATTTGACTGTCATGATATGTGTTCTGCTTTTGATCCTCCTGCCAAAATTCATGGAAATTTTTAACATTACTATGGACAAGGTCTCCGCTGAACCATATAAAGTATATGTTTACATGTCAGTAATCATTTTCAGTCATCCAATTCATAAGAGAAATCTAGTATACATATCTTTGGAACTGGGTTCTGGCATCCAAAACTTTTCGAAGCTGATAATCCGACCCATTTCACACAGCAATTAGCCAGGTGTGAGGAGGTAATTTCTCACTTAAGCTCTACTTCCATTCCTTTCTATATGTGAAAACAAGTTCAACACAATGAATACCTTTCGTATGCCATTCGGAAGAAATATCTGACTGTCACCTATGCCTTTTGTAGTTGTTGGGCGACACTTTTAAACAAACTCTGGCCTTAAGATATAGTCACATTAGCCTTCCATTCAAGGTAACTGCCCTGCATGCAGCCATTTTAAAGGATGTAATGTATGCTGGTAATCAATAAATATTTACCAGAGCTTTTGAAATCCTTGAAAAGTATCTGAAAGTGACGCTGCAGTTTGCAGTCTGTAAGCATGATGATGAACTTAACAGGGTAAATACTAGAATAATATATTGCCAAACTGGGAGACTGTGCGAATATTCATAGGATGGTAGTGTAATGTGACCGGACCTTTAGCCTTAATGGGCCTCAACATGTAACATTAATGTCATGTGACAAGTACGTTGTCAAAGTTTATGCACATAACCTGTTGTTGTACAAATTGTACATTTGTGTATATTGTGGAATTCATCAATTTTGGCGATCTGTTTTATTCTGAATACAGTAACGTAACAATGCCTATATTTACCACTCTCAAGTATGGTCTTAAGCTTTTGTTGAGAACACCAGTCCACTTGGTAAATCCCTTGTGACCTGGCATAAAAGGTGATTATATTAGAAAGTATATGACCATTCACTTGTGGAGTAAATAAACAAGGCTACGCTGATACAGTCAACAGACACACCCAATACAGTGATGTGTTTTGTGTCATAATATAGGTCTTGTCAATCAATGGCTATAGCCTATTAAAGTATTTTTTACAAAGGACAGGAACTGAGGTCACAGAAATGTAAAGGTAATGAGGCTGTTGCTGTTACCATCATCTCAAAATATTTCAGTGCTACTTTAGTTCCACTTTGGTGAGTGAATAATTGAAAGGGTATGTTTTGACTCACCATTTGAAGAGAGTGACTGACTCAACATCCTTTAGCTCCGGTACCTTTGACCTCCACATTATTCATGGCACAAAAACAGCCTGCTGTTGCTGAGGCTTTAATTTTAATACTAGTTGTTTTGTTTTTTGGAGTAGAGGTAAAGAAAATTGTGTGCAGCAGTTAGTTAACAGCATTGTACAATTTTGCAAACTGCAATTAGATACTTAAGGCTTATTAAAGTAGAGTTTAATCACAAATTCTCTCACGTTTTAGCACATTAATGCGATAAACATCACAGATGTAGCTTCATAACAGTCAACTGTTTAATGTTTTAACAAGTGCAGCGGTGGGTGGGGTTTATACCAGTTGTCAAACTCTCTCTACTCTCACCCTTGGATAGACATTTTAAGACACCAAATTCTCACACAGGAGAACGTAAATTGTGTGTTGCCTATAAATTTAGAACAAGACCAAATAAAATTTTAAAGGTTTCAGGCGGGGTCTCCTCTGAGACTATACTGAATTTCACAATGCCAGGGTATGCATGTGAGAGGAGCGTGAGACCTAAACCACAGTGTACCCCTCCCCCCTGTCATTTTAGAGAATAGTTCATCTTGTTTTTAATGATCATTAAGCACGCTTCCAGATGTTGGGTGGGAAATTCATCCTCACACAGTCCCCTGTGCTCTGCAGCACCAAACAAGAGTACTGGAGTGAGACAGAGTAATCCAGAAAACCATGGCAAAGCAGTACTGTCTGCATCCATGGGAATTACAAACAGTGCTCAATTTTTACATTATAGAGCATATGGAAGCCATTTTATAGTATCTTTAATGTGTCAATTCAAACAGTCTGTGAAACTTTTCCCGGTCGGTGGTTCAATCAATGCTCTCTCAGAGAAACAGCAATTCATCATCATAATGGATCCTTGGATGATGTGAATGACAATTGTACAATGTCTGAAAAGACAACAAACAAATAAGAACAATTCATATTTATGTACATATTTATGGATATTTCTGTTTATTGTACTTATAGAGCATTGCTCTAAGTATAGGCATGGATCTGTGTGAAATTATGCATGGTTTGTGATACATTGCATTTCTAATAACAAGAAACATTACTTTGATTGACAGTGTTGTGTTTTCAAATGAATCACTGACATAAAGACTCTTTTTTTTTTGTTATCCTCTTTATTTTGAAAGCACAGAGCTGTCAAGAGTATCTCTATTATTTAGACTAAGTCCCAAACAACTGAGGAAAGTAATATCTTGACACATGAAAAGAAAAAGAAAAAGAAACTCTAGGGTATTATTTAGTAAGTGTGAGATATAAAACATTGTAAAAGTATAAGTCATTTAAGGCATATTTTCTCTTCTATACACCTCTGGCAGTGAGCACAATGACCTTGCGTATATGGCGTGACAGCAATGGCCCCCATAAAACATAGGCTTTGCAATTTCTCTGATGTTTCCAATTAAATTCACCTGCATAATCAGAGGGACAACTAGTAAGAGGCCACAAATAAACTGAGGGGGCAATTTAAGAATCGTAAATCCCACAAGGGCTTGTTGGCATTTTCACTGAAGTGTTAAAGCAGTTAATTTTGTTTTTTTGAACGCTACCTTTGGTTGGCACACAGAGGCTGCGGTCAGGATATGCACGAAAAGGCAGTTGTTTAGTTCCTTTATACTGTTTACTTATTTTGTCATGCAATTTTTGTTTTGCAGGTCTCCAATTTTGCAATCTCATTCATTTTAGTTTCTGCATTTTCTCAAACCATGAATTAGGACTGCTATATGAAGAGATTTGAACTCTATGTTAAATATAACTTTGTATACTAGTGTGCTATAAATATAACTCTACAACAACCTTTTAAAGAAGCTGTTGACAATGATGACAAGTTGTAAAGACTTTCCTGAAATCAAACTGTGAATGAACTCTTGATTTTGAGCCATGGAGCACCTTTTGACAGAACTTATCTCAGCCAATATGTGAATTGTCTGTGCTGATTTCCTGAGACATACCAAACATTCAAGAGATTGCCAGAGGACTTGGGGTTTACCATATTCTTCCTCTTCAGTTCAGATTTGTTCAGGTTGCTGCATACAGTGTGGTCGAGTAATCATGCAGCTTACAGCAGCTGGACAGCAGTGACTGCTGAGGAAAAAACTCTATGGCAATACAAGGAAAGTGTGGGTGTCTTAAAGTCATTAAACTACTGCGAAAAAAGGAAAAATAAATAGTTGGAAATCTGTAGAAAGCAGAGTGATTTGTGGACATGCAACCACATATAACCTTTTATTTTGGCAGATCTTATTACCATGATTTAAATATGGTGTTTCTTGGAAAAATACAATATCTGAATCTTGAATTACTTTTTATTAACACAACTTCTATGAACATTTTGAGCAACAAAAGTAAAACATGACCAATGCACCAATGGAGTATCCCAATAATGTTTTTTTTCTCCAATCAACAACATATTTGGGTCATTTTCTAAAGCCTGTCAGCATGAAGGCTAGGCATGGAAATTGAATTACTGATGACTTTGCTTTGTGGAGCAGCTTATCCTTAGCCAGCATATCCCATGGGTTGTTGTAGCTCAGGAGGTATAGAGCGTGTAGTCCAATATCCTTAGCAATACCTGAACCCGAAGTTCAGTCCATTGTTGTGAATGTGTGTAGGCAAACTTGTAATGTGTTTGGTCCTCTAAGGTACTAAAGCGCCATATAAATGCAGTCCACGCCAATGTCAAGATAATTTGTGTAGCTTAAAATTCCTCCTCTTCAGACAACTGGGAAATGCAATTGGAGGCATGGTGTGGAAAAGGCAATTACAGATCATTTATAGTAAGTTGTAACAATATTAGAAATGTAGTTTAAAAGGTT